TAAAGAGAAAGTTGAGAATATAAAAGAAAGAAGATAAAATGAATAATTTAAAAGAGATAATAAATGATGAAAATAATGATGAAATAATGGGTGTATTTTTTATTATAGAAATTAGAAATATGAAATAAAAAGTGTTTAATTTATTATGCAAAATAATTAATATTATTTTATTGATATAAAATATTTTATTCTTTTTTATTTTTATAATTTTTATTATATGTTCATTATTTCTTTGTTTATTTTGGTTCTTTTAAAAGATAATGTAATATCAAATATGAAAGATCTTATGAGATACTGTGGTGATCATTCTGGAGAATACAGAGATGTAGAAGAACCAGAAGAAATAGATTCTGCCAAGTGTGAAGGATGTGAAAAAATTCTCATATAAATAACATGTTAAAAATATTAAACTTTAATTTATATATTTATTTTATATGATAATTTAATATTATTAATGTATTCTTTATCATTATTTACATTAATGTTTATTATTTTTATTATATTTTCTATTTGTTCATTTCTTAATTTCTTATTTAATTTATTATTTATCAAATTAATTGCAAAACAATACAACACATCAATTAAAATTATATTTGTTTGATTTATTATGTTTTATTTTATTACTATTTTATTATTATTTCTTGTTTTTGATACTCAGTGTTTTGTTCTCTTCTTCTTCTATTTCCATAACTGTCTTTTTCATAGTTGTAGTTTTGTTCATTTGTATTGTCCATGATGATGATATTCTCAATATTGGTTGTGTATTTATCATTAATGTCATTGTTTTCTTCTTCTTTATTTATGAAATAAAAAATAAATAATAAAATGATGATGATTTGATATTATTTGATTTTGTTCTTCATTTTCTTTTTGTATATTGTTTAATTCTTCTTTTGTTTTTTCTTCATTCTCATACTTTTCAATCCTACTTTTTTGATATACAGAGATTTGATTTTATTTATCTCTTATGTTCTTCTTCATCATATCATCATCATTCTTCTTTATCTCATAATTAACTAAGAGAATAATGATTTCATCTTTATGTGTTATTTCTATTTTATATTTCATTTATTTTGATTGTAATGAAATATTTTATTATTTTAATTTAGAATTTTCTTATTTCATTATATGTAGTTTGAATATTGTTTATTTGTGTTTGAATCTTTTTTATTTCTTCTTCAAACTCTTTTCTAACTGTATCTCATATTTTTTGAATCATTTCATTTGAGATGATTTGTTCTTCTTCTTTCTTTTTTGTTTGAAGTTCTTTAATAGTTTCTTCTATTTCTTTGATTTTATTTTGAAGTGTGTTAATTTCTTCTTTGTTATGTTCTTCTTTATCTTGTGTTTTCCTTTTATTTTCTTTTTCATTTATTATTATTGCAGTTTTACATCTATCATTCATTTCTTTGTTTCGATTTTTGTTTTTGATTCATTTTTCATTTATTTTAATATCTTCATTTGTCCAATCTTTTGTTTTATCTTTGATTTCTTCTTTGATTTTCTTTATTATTTTATTATTTATTATTGAATATAATTCTTGGAGAATATTATACATTTTCTTTACCTTCTTATTTTTTATATATTTCTGATTATTCTCATTTCTCCCATTTTCTTCTTATTATTTTAATTTTTATTTCAATTTCATTTGTTGTTAATAATTTAGATTTCTTATTTGTATAATGTTTATTATCATTATATTTACATTGTTTCTTATTTGTTTTTATTTGTATTCTTCTTTTTCTATTCACTCTTGTTATTTCTTTTATCATTATTATTATGCATTTTATTGTTATTTCATTCTTTCTTTTCTTTGAACATGAATACCTGTTTGTTGTTTGATTTTCTTTACAAGACTCTATGGTATTACTCAATAGCTATGACAACAAAATATGATGTATATTCTGAATTGATAAAACGAATAAATAAAATAAGAAGATAAATAAGATAAATTAAATAAGAAATAATAAATAAAATAAAATAAAGATATAAAATAAAATAAAAGATATAAAGAAATAAAATAAAAAAAGAAAGATAAGAATAAGAATAAGAATATAAAAATAAGAATAAAAAGAAATAAAGAATAAAAAAGTAGTTAATTAAGTATTAATAGAAATATTTTCTGTTGTTCCTTGCTCAGGGGAGACTACTAATCCCGTCCCTGAGCTTTAAATGTATTTGTTCTTCAACTATTGCCTTATTCTTTGCTTCTAGTTGTTGAACTGTGAGATTTTCCTTTTCTCATTTTTGATGTGGAATAGAGTATTTAAACATCCCTTATTTAAATATTCATTATTTAATTTCTTTTTAATTTTGATGGGTTTGAGTTTCTTTTTAATTTCGATGCGTTTAAATTTCTTCTTCTTTATTTCCTTATTTTAAGGAGAATATATAATTACTACTGTATTGCTTTGGGCTAATATTCTTTTAGCCTCAACTACTTGACCCTTTTCCTTTGATAATCTTATTATCAAATAATACTTGTATTCTAACAAGTAATAATAACATCTTTATAAATACCCATTCGTTTATTATCAATGATATTCTGTCATTGTACATAATAAACACTGTTATTCTTGCAATACTGATTAAGATGTTTTTCTAACCTAATGCAACGCCATAACCAGTCCATGACTGGGGGGAATCGAAGGATGGAAATATTTTAGGGTTCTGAGTGGTGTCTTTGACGTGCTACCTTCGAATCTTTAAAAGAAATAAAGAATAAAAAAAGAATTATAAAACAAATATAAAGAATGATATATCAATCAATAAAAAAAGAAAAGAATAATATCAAAATGAATAAATAAGAAAATAATAATAATAATATAAATGATAATCAATTATAATTTATTTCTACTTCAATTTATATTGTATTTCATTTATTGTATTTTTGTTTCATTCATCATCATTTAAAACAATCTATTGGTATTCTTTCATTTTTCTTTAATTCTTTTTCACATCTACATCTGTAAAAACATCCATTTCCAAATGATGTAATTGTTGTTGGTATATTAATTGTTGTTAATGATGAACAAAAACTAAAACAATCATTTCCTAATTTACTAACAGATGTTGGTATATTAATTGTTTTTAATGATGAACATCCATTAAAACATTTATATGCTATTTCATTAATTGTTGTTGGTATATTAATTGTTGTTAATGATAAACATCCATTAAAACAACGATATCCTAATTTATTAATTGAAGAGGGAATAATAAATTCATTAATATCTTTCTTGAAAATATTCTTTCCATTGATTATTTGTAGATTATTTGGTGTTTCAATACTAATTAACACTGGTTCATTCATAAATATTCTTTCTTCACTTACAAATTGTAGATTATCCATATTCATAGATGTTAATGATTGACATCCTAAAAAACAATCATATCTTATTTTAGTAATTGTTGTTGGTATATTAATTGATTTTAATGATGTACATCCAATAAAACATTCACCTTCTAATTTATTAATTGTTGTTGGTATATCAATTGTTGTTAATTCATTATAATATCCAAAACAATAATCTCCAAGTGATTTAACTTCTGATGGTATTGTATTCCCATATGATTTTCTATCTTCTTCTGTATATTCTATCTTTTTACATTCATTTCCTTGTTCTTTCTCTTGTAAATATGTTGAATAACTTACTTTATACCATATCACTTTTTTAATTATTCTTCTATTATTATATATCTTATCTTTTTTATTATAAATATGAAATATTTCAATATTATGAAATAATTTTTTTGAATATTTATCTAAAGGAATTGGATTAAAATGAAATCGTTCCATATTTCCTTGAAATCTTTTAACTCCAATTTCTAAATTAATAAAATCTTTAATATCATTAAAATATTTTGACACTATCATTATTTCATTATATCCTAATTTCATTATTGATTTATTATTTATTAGTTGTTTTTATTAGTTCTTTTATTTTTATATTTTAATTTCTTCTTTTTTATTCTTTATCATCATTCTATTTTTATTAATTGATATTTGTTATGAAAAACATTAATTAATAACAAATAAAATAAAATGTTATTTATTTTTCTTTTATGCAAAATATTTTGAATCAATAAAATAATACTTTTTATTATTTTGTTCCTAAAAAAAATAAAAAATAAAAAAGTAAATTAAATACACATTCTATATTCATTTATATCTGATTATATTTTATATCATTTTATGGTAAATTGTTCTGAATTATAAATGATTCAGAAATGATATTTGATTCAATGTATGTATACATTTTTATTATTATTTTATTATTATTTTATTTATGTATTTTATTATTTTATATTTATATATTTTATTATTATATTTATTTTTATTATTGTATTATATATCATCATATTATCTCTTTATTATTATATTTATCATATTTTATTAGTTTGATATTCTTATTATTTATATTTTATTTTATATATTAATATATTTTTATTTATATATAATTTATTATATATTAATACATTTCTTTATCTTATTTTCATTTTTATTATATTTTTATATTTTATATCTATTTTCTCTTTATATTTATTATTATTTTATTTATATTATATTGATTTTATTTATCTTTTCTTTTATATATTTTATTTATTATTATATCATTTCTTTTCTATTATTATTTCTTTATCATTTATTATTATTTATTTAATTTTTATATCTTCTATCTATATCATATGAAATTATTATTTATTATTTATCATTTATTACATATTATATACTAATCATATAACATTTATAATTGATTATATAATAAACACTGATAATAAATTATATATAAATAAAAATTATAAAAATAAAAAAGAATAAAATAAATTGCATAAATAAAATAAAGTTAAATTATTTTATATCAATAAATTAAACACCTTTTTATTTC